AAGAGTACTCTTAGATTATTACCCTGAGTGAAAATGTGACCGCAAATTTGCTCTTCTCTTTTCAACCCACCTATTCTAGATATTCAGATTTATTTGTACCTGAACATTTGGGACATAACAGGAAATGAACTATTTCACATGTCTAATGAATCTCTGATCAAAGCTTCCTATTATCATTAAAAATAAATATTTTGGCAAATAAGCATTAAATTTTACATTGTAAACTGAGAGCTTGCTTGTCATTCTACAGACTCCATTTCAGTGGAGGAAGCTGTTTTTCGGAAGTGTGCTTCCTACGGAAGGTTGCATTTTATTAATTTGCTCCAGAAATTTTGCCAAGACAAATTATAAAAGTGAGGTCATGAATTTAGGGGAACCAATATTTCACAAAAAGTTTTTGCTTTTTTTTTAAAAAAAAAAAACTAAAAAATTTTTATTTCATGATTGGCATGAAGACATACTCTGGTCAAGTATTTGAGAGAAATTTAAAAAATATCTACTTGATACTACGTATATTTGTTTATTTGAAAGAAATTTAAATTTGAAATCAAATTAAAGATAATTGACTCATAGTAAATAAATAATTTTTTGAAAGACCAAGTCATATATAACTTATATTATTTGATAATTTGATTTTATAGACATCAATGGCTGTAAGAGTAGTAGATAGAGATTCAAAGTATGCATCTTTCTTCTTCTTACCATTGTAAGATATATTTATTGTTAAATACAAAATTATGTATTTGGTGAAGATTACAACTTCTGGATATTGCATTCCAAAAGTAAAAGGAACAACTTTTTTCCATTTATTTCATGGACTATGGGGAAGATTGAAACCCGGAAGTGATTATCACCATATTGTATTGTGATTTTAATAGCAAAAGATCTAGAAGGCTGCAATCCTCGGATTTTCAGAAAAAGTAGCAAGTGTCTATACTTTACCATTGAATCTCTCTGCTCTTTGTCAAGACCTCCAGCTACAAATTTTCAGTTAGTACATAGATTCCGTCCAGAAACGAGGGATGATAATCATTGAAGACATTAATGCAGATGTAAAACTTTTGGTAAACAATATTATTTGTGATGGAATAATAAAACCAATTCATTAAATTAGGCTCCCAATTTCCTGACTGCATAACAGTACTCTGTTCAGGTATATACATATGTAGCAACCTTGATATTATCAGAGTCTTGAATTTACGTCTACTTTTCCATGTTCCATAGAACTTGTGTGTCCTATAGGCTACCTGTAATTCTCATATGGATGAGAGTTAGATTTCCCTATATATTTAAAAATGAATAATTTATTCATTTTTAAAAGGCTATAGTGTCAAAAGTTATAAGCTTATTGTGAAATATACAAGAACATATTCGTTCAGGTGGGCCCATGTTGAACTTTTTCTGCTTCTCTCAGATTCATCTGAAACTTGGTGAGCTTATGGTGAGAGTGAGACGCATTAATTGGACATAGAGTTGGGGTGTGCTGAAGGTTGCAGAGTTCTAATTAAAAAAGCCACTGTGTTTTTATGGCAGCATGCTGGAGGGCTGCACTGATTTCCTGATGGACATTGACAGGACTATTAAAGCTGTGAAACAACATCACTCGAATATGGCAGGGAATGAAAGAACTAGGTTAGCTATATTGCTTTTGGGTGTTATTAGCTGATTAAACAAGAGCCACAGGGAAAATCATCTTTGGGCCATCCATTCATTTTCTCAGCTTTGTTTGTTTCTCTGCAACAATTTCACAGGGTTGGTAGTTAGTTTCCTAGGAGGCAGCCTTTAAATTCCATCCATGACACAAAGGATGAGCCAGTGTGCGCCTAAGTCTTTTAGTTGACCCAAGACACCTGGTATGTGACATAAAAGAGATTTTTTTTTTTTTTTTGGTTTTGTTTTTTTTGAGCCATACCTTTGACTGGTTGTGTATATGTATATTCCTGTAACAACAGACTTGACTTAGGCCAAATCCAATTCCCCTTTGATTACATCACTTATTTTTGTGTGAATCTTTCACCTCACTGAACCTCAATTATCGTCAGCTATAAAATTGTCCTGCTGATACCTTGCAAGCCGATTATTGGAGTTAGAGATATGTAAAATGCCTAACATAGGTCCTGGCATAGATTAGGCACTCAATAAAGGATAGCTTTGATTATTAAGATTAAAACAGTCTAGTGAGATAAAAATATAGGAGTAATTTGCAATTTTAATTTGCCTAACAGTGGTCCTGGCATAGACTAGGCACTCAATAAAGAATGGCTTTTATTATTATGATTAAAACAGCCTAGTGAGAGAAAAATGTAGAAGTAATTTGCCATTTTTGTCAGATAGAGAGGAAAAAGTTGGTTTTTCCACTAACAGAAATGAAATGGAATCTGAACGCTTGCTTGAAAGTAAATTTTAGGCATTTGGTAAGAATTGGCATACCCCTTTGAAGAATTAATTTTGATAGAATTATGTAATTTCACTTTTATGGGGCTTTTAAATAATGTTCCAAGGGAAGCTGGATGAGATTCTTCCAGTCATTGCACAAAATGTGGTACGTATCTGAGAGCTACTTAAACCAAGAACAGATAATATGAAAAAGAGAACATATCACAACAGATGAGATGTAGGTTAGAGCTAAAGTGTCACATGTCTTTCTAATAGTGTTGAAATACCAAATTAGGAAATTGAAAGAAGCTCCCAAATACTTCATTTCTGACATTTTAAATCTGCAGTTTAGTGTGTAATTTGGTGATAGATAACAAGATTCTTAAAATCTTTAATATTCTGAATCAACAATTCCATTGCTATTTATCCACTCTAAGGGAAAATATAAAATTCAGGAAATGCTCTATACACAAAGATACTTATCATAGTATTGGTTATTACAGGGAAAAATTAAATTTTCAAAAATAGAAAATAAGACAATTATGCTAAACTCCATATAAGTAAATATAATATAAGCATATTACTTATAAAAAGTTTAATGGGGAAATATTTCTGCATAGAGAAAAATAAATATACAAAATTATATATAAATTATTATTTCAACTATGTAAAATAGTCATTGAAAAAATGGTAAAAGGAAATGTTTAGTTATACCATATAAAGTATGACTTTTGATCTATAGCAGGACTATTTCACATAGTTCAACCTAATACTAACATATGAATATCTTTGGGAAGTGATAAAATTTTCAATAATATTCTGTGATTTTTGTAATTTCCCATTTTTACAGAAACATATTCAACTTTTATAATTATAAAAATTTTATAGAAAATAACTTGGTCATCCCAAAAGGGACTGTTCTAATTTAGGCAAATTAAAAAAATATAAATTAGATTAGATTTCCATTTTAGGCAGTATTACAAACTTGATATGCCAAAAAGCTTTGCATTGCAAAATAATCCAAGATACTATATAAAGTGTTTGGAAGAACTTTTTAATGCATGGCTGAGCTGGCAACAGAGTAAGGAAATCTCCAGCAGCCAAACATGAAGCAAAAGCATAAATCCTGGGAGAAAAGTCTATGCCTGCTCTCAGGGCATCTGTGGATTTCTGGAGATCCAGAGATTAGGTTTTAATGGCCTCATGGGGGGCAGAGAACAAATCTTAGTGTCCATATAATGTAGGGAATCAGATCAAAGACCTCCATATGAAGCCAAGACCCTACCCACCCAAAAGGGCCACCACTTCAGGGAACAGCAAACTAGAGGGAATCCTACTTTACAAGGGAAACTTGCCTTTTTTAACTTCAACTTCAAGTGGAGAGAAAACCAAAGTTGTTAGGAAAAAAAAAAATGGTTTTAAAGGCAGCTGGGAAAAAGCAAGCATAAATCCTCTCTGGCTAAAAGAACTTTCAACTTCAGGCCTCTAAGAATTCTTTCACATAAAATTGCATTAGATAATGGACACAGCAGTCAAACATCACAAAACAAGTGTGATAACAAGAAACATGGCTGGGAATCAGCAGATATACCCAACAGTTGAATAAAATATACAAAGGCTTAGACATACAAATTATCAAACATAGAATAAAAATGAGCATAGTTTTTAAGTTTTAAGAGTAAGCTTCAGAGACTCTCATCGAGATAAAGCACATTTGAAAAAGAAATTATTCACTTGAAAAATATAATTTAAAATAAAGAAAAACTCAGTTTTAAAAGAAGATTAGAGACAGATCAAGAGAAGGACTGAACTGGCAGATGATCTTAAAGAAATAACCAGAATGTACCAGTGTCAAAGTTATGTAACTATGAAAGAGAAACCATAAATTACAGTCATAAAACGAGAAGGTCCAAAATACATGTAATCAGTATTATAGAAGGGAAGACTGAGAAGAATGAAAAATAGGTAATAGTCTAAGAAATAATGGTAAAAAATTTTCCCAAACTGATGAAAGACACAAATCCTTTGATTTAGGAGTCACACTAAATTCCCAGCAGTGTAAATGCAAAGGCATGTATGCATAGTTATGTTGTAGGGAAGCTACAGAATAACAAAGATTAAAAAAAATAGAAAGAGCAATCAGAGAGAAAAGACAGACTAATAACAAACAAGTAACAATTATATAGAAAATAAAAATGAAAAATATAGTGTTATACTACTTTCACAATCTGAAAGAAAATAACAGTAAACCCGGAGCCAGTAAAACTATGCTGTAAGAATGAGAGTAGAGACAAGGTAGCCTGGCTCATGCCTATAATCCCAGTGCTGTAGGAGGGTTGTTTGTGTTTTAGGCTGAGAGTTTGAGACCAGACTGGGCAACATAGTGAGACCCTGTCTCTCTAAAAAAAATATTATCCAGGCATGGCGGTGTATGGCCATAGTCATATCTATGTGGGAAGCTGAGGCACGAGGATTGCTTAAGCTTAGGAGTTGGAGGTTATAGTAAGCTATGATTGTGCCACTGCACTCCAGCCTGGGGTATAGAGTGAGATCCTGTCTCAAAAAAAAAAAAAGTAGAATAAAGACATTTTTAGATGAAGAAAAAACTTTTTACCACCCAACAGGGTATTTACCACCACCTGTAGAGGAACTTCTGAAGAACATACTTCAAGAAGAATAAAAATGATCTCAAAAGGAAGATCTGAGAAGCAAGAAAGAAGGAAGAAAAGAGTGAACATGTGAGTAATCTAGATATTTACTGTATAAAACACTACTTAACAATAACGATAGTAATGTTTAATTTGCAGGATTTGACAAAAACTTATATACAAGTAAAATATGTCCTGATAACAGGACACATGTTGGAGTGGCTAACATTAGAGCATTTTAGACTTTAATACATGTGCATGTTAAAATTTCTAAACAGCTAATAAAATAAAGTGTAAAACTTCTAGCAAAGGTAAAAAATGGAAAGATTACAAAGAACTTAAACAATCCAAAACATAGCAGTGAAAAATATAAAGGAGAAAAAGCAATGTAAATGAAAAGCAAAAATAAGATGATAAAAATTCAAGAACGTCAACAAACTCAACAAATATCAGTGAACAAAACTTTTTAGTTAGAAGGCTAAGTTTGTCAAACTGGATTTAAAAATATCAAGCTCTATGTTCTTTATGAGAGACCTGACAAAAAATATAAAGATATAAAAATTGAAAATAAAAGGGTAGAAAAAGATATCCTAGAAAATAGTTATGAAAAGTAAATTAGTGTGGTTATATAATGTTATACAAAATAAAGCTTTAAGATAAGAATTACTACTATAAACAACAGCAACAAAACCCAGTAAATATTGATAAAAGGTTGAATTTCTTTGGAATAACTAACAGTTCAAAACATGCATCTATGCAATAACTTCAAAACTCATAAAAGAAATACTAAAAAACAATGAGAATAAAATGAAAAAAATCTACCATCATCATAAGCAATACTAAAACAACTCTCAGCAACTGATAAATCAATCAGAAAAATTAATTAGGATAAAGAACATTTGCCCAAAATAATCAACAAACTTGATATATTTACTTCTATATCAAATGATTGAAGGAAAATTATCCTTTTCAAACATCCATAGAACATTTATGAAAACTGACAAGTTACCAGAATACATCTGATCAAATTTTATAGAATTGTTACCATGCAGACTGTGTTCCCTGATCACCATGCAATTAATGTAGAAATATATCTAAAAGTACAACCACACATTTTAAAATTTAAATACTAAATAGCTCATGGGACAAACAAAAATCAAAATAAAATTTGGAAAATATTTAGAGTTGAATTAAAATAAAATTATTATATCAGATTTATGGAATGCAGATAAAGCAGCATTCACACATTTATACAATTGACGCACAAACAATGTAGGCATTAGGGGTTGCAACTGCCTGCACAGTTAAAAATTAGTATGTAATTTTTGAATCCCCAAAAACTTAACTACCAATAGCCTACTATTGACTGGAAGCCTTACTGATAACATAAACCATTGATATACATATTTTATGTGTTTTTAATATACATATATATTATATGCTGTATTCTTACAATAAAGTAAGCTAGGGAAAAGAAAATGTTATTAAGTAAATCATAAGGAAGAGAAAATATATTTACTGTTTACTAAGTAGAAGTGGATCATCACAGTGGTCTTCATCCTCATCATCTTCATGTTGAGTAGACTGAGGAATAGGTGGAGGAAGAGGTGGGCTTGGTCTCTTTGCTCAGGGGTGGCAGAGGCAGAAGAGGTGGAGGAGGTGGAGGGGGAGGCAGGAGAGGCAGGTGCACTCAGTGTAACTTTACATAAATACATCATAATTTCTATCTGACATTTTTGCTTTTTTGTTCCTCTAAAAATGTTCTATACGGTACTAGTCCTTCTTCCACCATTTGCTTTAGTTTCAATGCCCATATCATAGAAGAGTCCATGTTAGAAAAGAAATCAAAAACAGTCTTAAATAATCAGAACCCTCCTTCCAGATTGTCCAGAGGCAATTTGTTTTCTGGCATGGCTTCTTCTACGTCTTCTTCCCCATTATCTGGCACTGGTTGGGAAGCACTCATCTCCATCAAGTCATCTTCTGTTCATTCCTCTGGTGTGGTGTCTATTAGCTCTTGAATTTCTCCAAGATTCATATCTTGAAACTCTTCATCCCCCCCCCTTTTTGCCATATCCACAATCTCTTTCATAGTTTCCTTGATTGGCTCTGTCATAAATCTTGTGAAGTCATGTACAACATCTGGACACAGTTTTCTCCAGCAGGAATTTATTGTTTCTGGCTTGATAACTTTCATGACTTTTTCTATAACAATGATGACATCTTCAATAGTGTATTCCTTCCAGACTTTTATGAGAAAACTATGGAAGAGAACCCCATACGGGTTCTCTTCCATAGTGTTGACATTTCTTTCCATGGAGGACTGTGTGTAATGACCTTAAAGGTCTTTATGACCACCTAATTTAGAAGCTGAATTAGAGATGTTGTGTTTGGGGGTAAGTGGACCACTTCGACACCTTATGGAGTTCTGGGTGGCCAGGGACATTGTACAATATCAAAAGAACTTTATAAGGTCGTCCTTTACTGGCAAGGTACTTCCTGGTTTCAGGCACAAAGCCTTAATGGAACCAATCCAGAACAAGGGTTCTTGTCATTCAGGCCTTCTTGTTGTACAACCAAAGACTGGCTGCTGGTGTTTATCTTTTCCCTTCAAAGGTCAGATGTCAGCAGCTTTATAGATAAGGACAGTCCTGATCATAACCTGGCTGCATTTGCGTTAAACAGTAGAGTTAGCCTATCCCTTGCTGCCTTAAATTCTGGTGCTCACTTCTCTTCCTTACTAATAAATGTCCTTTGTGACTTTTATTTTCCCAGAATAAGGCACTTCTGTTTGCATTAAAAACCTTTTCAAGCAGATATCTTTTCTCCTCAATAATTTTCTTAATGGCATCTGGGAAGTCTTCTGCTACCTCCTGGTCAACAGAAGCTGCTTTTCCTGTTATCTTGACATTTTTGAAGCCAAATCTCTTTCTAAAATTATCAAACCATCCTTTGCTGGCATTACATTCTCCAGCTTTAGATTCTTCACATTCCTTCTGCTTTATGTTGTATAATGACTTTGCTTTTTCTTGAATCACAGTTGAATCTATAGGTATGCTTTTCTTTTAGCAATCCTGCACCCACATAAAAGCTTCATCTTCAATACAAGCCAAAAGTATTTTGCAAAAAGTGCAAGCTTCGCATGCTTGTTGGTGTAGCTACAGTGATGGATTAGAAAATTTTCTTTTTTTTTTTTTCTTCTTTATAATGGTCTTTATGCTGGCTTCATTTACCTTGAAATTGTGAGCAACCGCAGCTGCAGACCTCAATCTACAGTCCATATCAAGCAATTGAACCTTTTCTTATAGTGTCATGACTTTTCTCTGCTTCTTAGACACACTTCCAGAACCACTAGCGGCACTCTGTATGGGTCCTATGGTGTTATTCAAGGTATATGGTATTGCACTAAACACGATGAAAAATACGTCAGATCACTTTTATTGCAATATGTAGTTTACTGGAGAGAAGAACTGTCATGTTGACATGATTAGCATTACACAGCATTTTAAGTAGATTCTTGCAAAACTTTAGCTCACCATGATAGCAACAGGAGGTGGCTACATAGTTATTACAGTAGTACAGTATTACTACAGTTAATTTTATGCAGTTATGATTTAATACTGCATCTTTGTGTTTACATTTCTCTCCACTATGAATGGCATCATGCATGATCTGTGTTTGTGTGCATTAGTTGTGATAAATTTTAACTTTTTATAATAGATTTGTGTATATTTTATGGTAGTAAGTGATAGATTAGTATCTACATATATTTTATGCATTCATGACACATCTAACTTTTCTTAATTTTTTTGATATTTCTAGGCTATGTGGTTTGAGAGTTTTTCGAATTGTTGCAAATCTCCAAAAACTTTTCAACTTTTGTTGAAAAACATCTATTTATAAGTGAAGCCAAGTAGTTCAAAACCTGTGTTGTTCAAGGGTCCACTGTATTAGAAAAGAATTATTGAAGATTAATAAGCTAACCCTACAACTTGAACATTAAAATAAAAATAGTAATAGAAAATGTGTGTATTTAAAAGATGCCAATTACAATGGCAACAAAAATAAGGTTCTGGGAATAAACCTAGTAAGAGATGTGCAGAACTTTTGAAGAGGACATTGACAATCTATTGAAAGACCTAGATAAAATACTTCATATTTTCCCAGAGAGGAAGACTTAATATCACAAAGTGTCCACTCAAATTCATCTCCAGATTTAATGTAATTCCAACCAAAATTTCAGTAGGGTTTTTCATGGAACTTGACAAATGGATACTAAAAATATAAACAGAAGAACAAAGAGCTCTAAATAGCTGATATAGTCCTGAGGAAGAATGAGCTAGAAAGACTTAGCCTAGCTGATATAAAAAATGATTATAAGCCTGATGTTAATTACAATAGTATATTTTTCTCATAGACGTAGAGAATTAGAGCAGTGGAACAGAATAGAGAAAACAGAAGCATGCTCATGCCTATTTGGAATCTTTAATCATATAGAGCTGGCATTGTAGATTAGTGGTACTAGGACAACTGGCTAGAGGAGAAATACTGGATGCAAAATTCAATTCCAAATGTATTAAGAAAAGATGAAATTTAAAAGCGTCCGGGAGAAAGTATAGCCTAATATCATCTTTATAAATGCAGAAGAGGGAAAGATTTCATCACTCAAAAATATAAATCATGAAAGAAAACATTGCTAAACTTAACAAAATTAAAATGAAAAACTTCAGTTCCTGAAAATATGTAATAAAGTAGAAAAGAGAAATCACAAAACACATAAAATTGCAAAGATTTAATGTCTATAATGTTTAAAGAACTCCTAAGAATTCATGAGAAGAATGGGCAAAAGTCATGAATAGACATTTCCCAGGAAAGGAAATATGAATATCCCATAAACAAGTGAAAAGATGTTCAATCTCATTAGTGATGAAGAAGAAATGCCAATGAAAACTGGCGTGAGATACTGGACTGGGAAATATTAATAATGTGTAGTTTGTCAGCAACTAACAACTGGTCCCAGTGGGAAGAATGGTTGGTAAGGGGCAGAGCTGGAAGTTGGGACACCAGCCAGGATGCTGCTCAGTCACCTC